CAATGTTATGCATACAAACTGCCACACAAAACCTGCTGCCTGGTGAACACTGACAAGTCTGTAGGATTTTTGTGGAAAATATCTTTAAAGTAGGATTTTCCTCCAAGTTGTCTTCTACTCTGACGTGTACCATCCCCAAACTGGCTCTGTAGTTCAAAATCACATGTCCCAAAGCACCTATGAAAAATAAGACCTCCTGTGCATGGTTTGTTGGTCTCTGGGCTCCATCTCATGCTTCTGTCTGTTTAACTGGCATGAGTCTAAGGGTCCTTCCCTCCATCAATAGCCAAATAAATTACCTTCCACACATGTAGACTAACACAAAGAATGGCTCTTCCAACCTTACCAAAGAATATTCTTCCTCTGCTCAAAGGAATTATCCATCAGAAATGAAAGATCTAACTCTGCACTTCTCAAATAAGTCTCCAATTGCTTTGAGAAAGCGAAAGCAAACAAAAGTGTTGACTGTTTAATTATAGGCTACTTAGTTGAGGTCATGTCCACAGAGGGAATATATCTGCGTTTTTTAAAAAAGCAACTTATTAACCATTGTGGATAAATGTATGCTAGGTAAGATCTATTGAAACGATTTTATAAAGCACATAAAGATCTAAATCCCACTTTGAAGAAAGATTTACGGCTTTACATTTTATCCCCACTGGCAGCATGACTGGAGATGAAACTTCCACTGACTGGCTTCAGTGAGAGTTAAAAATAAACAGAATGAAATCCCCTGGCTAAGAGCACAACAGAATGGCTACTGCTCTGGAGAACAAATGTCTTACTTTGGGTTATCTTTTGCACCTGTACACTGGCAATTTTTCCAAATTGGATGAACATTTCCATGGCACTGCTGTGACAGTTTAAATTGGTGTGGAAAATTAATCTTCATCCATGGTGTATTTGAGTAGCTAGCAAGAAAAAGCAAACCAAGGTTGGGAAAGCGGAAAAAACAATCCTCAGGTTACTGTGGTTCACTGCAGGGGAGCCACATTACTGCCATGCCAAAATCTCCTACATATACCTCCATAAACTGGGAGAGAGAAGTACTGGGAAAACAGAGCAGAGACTCTGCTGTGACTAAGGTATGCAGCTGGATCTGCAGGTCCTGGAGCATATGTGGATCATGTCTTCCCACCATCTGGGGTCAGGCCATTCCCCTGCCCAGCCTCAGCTGGTTCCCCTATGCCATAACAATCTGTCCATGGAGCCAAGCCACGTACATTCATGTGGTGTCAAACTTTGAACAAAGGTCACAGAAGGAGGACTTCTCACCTAATAGGGGCAGCAGGAAAATCCTGTTCACAGTCCGCAATGGAAGGATGTCTGTAAGTTCCAGATGGTACACTTGCAAAAAGGATGGCTTAAACCACTTACACTGAGTGACAAAAATCAGATTATCTCATACCCAATAACAGGTTAGTTACAGTTCAGATCTATGAGCATTATATTTATAAGAACCAGTTTGACTGGGGAGAACTAATTGGAAATTTTTGTGCTGGGAACACCAAAGCAAACACATAGCACGAAGCAATTCAGACTATTATGTGCGTATATATATACATATATATGTATATATGGAATGATGAATTTTAAGACAAATTCCTTCTATAAACAAAGAAGCATCCAGCACTGGGGCTTCCAACATATGAAGGACATGGACCTGTTGAAGCAAGTCTAGAGGAGGGCCACAAAGATGACTGGAGGGCTGGAACACCTCTGCTGTGTCAATTTGGAGAAGCAAAGGCTCCAGGGAGACCTTATAGCACCGTCCAGTAGCTAAATAGGGTCTACAAGAAAGCTGGAGAGGGACTTTTCGCAAGAGCATCTAGTGACAGGACAAAGGGGAATGGCTTTAAACTGAAGGAGGGCAGGTTTAGATTACAGACATCAGAAAGAAATTCTTTACTGTGAGGGTGGTGAGGCACTGGCACAGGCTGCCTAGAGAACCTGTCGACACTCCATCCCTACAAGTGTTAAAGGCCAGGTTGAATGAGGCTTGGAGCAACCTGGTCTACTAGAAGGTGTCCCTGCCCATGGTGGAGGGGGGTTGGAACTAAATGATCTTGAAGCCCCTTCCAATCCAAACCATTCTGTGATTCTATGACATTTAAAACTTTTACTTTAGGTTGTAGCAATTATGCCCAGTCTCATATTTAAGCTTAGATTTTCACTTGCATTTTTACAGATTCTTTTAGCTAATGCTGCTGATAAATATATATAAAAAATATCCCTGAAGATGAGAGCATACCCTGCAGATATGACCTGTTGGAATTCAGTTAGCAGGTTTGATTCTAGAAATAACATACTTATTTCAAAGAAGAGGGCAGAGATTGACTCACATTTTTAAAGAAACCTGTAGTTTATGATTTAAAGGCATGTTGGCATGAAGAAGCCCTGCTGAAAGAAGTTTCCCAGAATTCATAAAAATTAAAACCCCATCATTTTAATACAGAAGTAGACTCCAGTGTTGGTGGAATATTATACATTTAAACAGACAGCAGTGACCTATCACAGCATTTCAAATTTTCATAAGGTTTCCTCATGAGTCCTAAACTCTCAAAGGTTCTTGGCAGTCAACTTTCAAAGTCCTATTCTTCCACTCTTCATTTTGAAACCATTTTTTATCCAGTTGTATTGAGCTTACTTTTTTACAGTCACATGAAGAGACGTTTTTGTTGCTGTTTCTCAATGTAGACAAAAAAATTAATCTTGTTGAATCTGCGATTTTGGGGGGTGAAGGAAGGGAAGAAAATCTTCTGACTCACAGTGGAGTAGGATGAGGATTATCCCTACATACTGTTGTTCCTTGCTGAAGCTCAGCAAAGCGCAGAAGAAAGAAAGAGGCTGCTCAGGAGCACATCAGCTCCTCCATCACGTCACTAAGTGCACTGTGCTGGTGTGTGTCCATGGAGCTTGTCAGGGAAGGATGTGCAAGAGATGGACACAGACTGTGTCACCTAGGGATGAAGGAGCTCATTCTGACTAGAAAGAAGCAGTCAGACGCATTTGAATAAAGCTTGTCTCCACCCCCAATAAATAATTCAAAACCCAGACTGTTAATGACTCTCCTCCCGCCTCCCTGGCTGGACCTGGGAAACTCTTCCAGCAGCATTGCTCCTGAGTCTTTCTGTACTCACAAACGAGAGTTTTTGGGTGATATTCTTGGTTAGCTGATAAATTCCCAAACAGCTCTTTCTACAGGACCTGATCTAATATCATCTGATTGAACTGAGAAAGATGCATCATACCTGAAAGCAACGGATTCTGACCTTTTTCAAATTAAGGAGATGTAAATACTGGGGAAGGAAGAGGAGTCCAATGGTCAAGGCACTAAATAGGAATGCACAGCCTTTCTCAGAACCTGCTTCCATGTAGCTGTCTTGTAAGATCCAGATAAGCAAAATTAAATTAAACACTCAGTGCAACAATATGTCATCTGTGAAAAGGATAAAAGGGCTTCCTTTCCTCACAGAAACACTCACAAGTGCTTTAAAGATGAGGAGGCAGCTCAGAGCACTTTGGTAATTACTAAATATAAAAGTAATGAGAAGAGTCTTGGTAACTAGGCATGTCTAAAAACCAGTCTTTTGCTTTATAAAGGCAGCAGTGAAGCAGATGGTTTTAATGTAACTTTTAAAAAAGTAAGTGTAGTTTCCCAGATAATCCAGCAGACACTCTCCCACTATGGAGCCTGCCAGTTCCGTGGGTTGTAGAGTGAACAATGTTTGAAGCTGAGTTACAACTACTCACAGGCTGAAATAAAGAGCTATCAAAATTATTGCACATAAAACTCCTCATTTTACTCAAAGTAGGTTCCAGTAAAGAAAGTAATAATACATCTTAGCTTTCAATAAATCGTATTTTTATACTTAAATGTCCTGGTTGCCAGCTCTGATCATGGTCTGTAAAACTTCTTACGTTTTTCTTAAAGCTTCAGGTATTGAAGACAAATAACTATGCAGGAGTTACAACTTTCATGTAAAAGCAGTGATAGTTTTCTAAGTCCTTGCAGCTGCACAGGAATCACTCATTCCAATGGTTTACAGTTGATGGTCTAATATTAGTTTGTGGAGACCACCCACAAACAGAAAAACCTGAGGAAGGCAATCCTGAGATTTTACCCAGATGATCCAAAGGATCAAGTTCATGCTGCTCTCATTCTGTTATGTAAGTGATGTAAAGACCCTTTTTCCATGAGCCAGTGGAGTCACCCTGGGGACTGATCTGGCACAGTGCCGGCAGAGTGTAGCTTGGGTGGAACTGAGTGGCTCTATGGTGATACCACTGCAAACAGAACTGGCTCTTTTCTAGAGACTCTTCTTCCTGTATTCCCTCAGTGCCTTCTGCAAAAAGCAAGACGTTGCTTACCAGTCATGTCCTGCACATAGGAATGTCAGCACTAAACTACTGTAAAGTGAACTGATACCTTCCATTCTTTGAGATTAAAATCTGTTTATTAATTTCTCTCCCGTCAATCTTTGTTTCGTTCTGTCTCCTCACCAAACAAACCCCATCATGTGCTGGGAAATAAATCACTGAACTTTTGTTGCCTTTTAGCTCCTCTCCGTGAGTTTTTAAAGCACTACACCAGCTGTTGAGCATCCTAAATCACAGTTTCTACAGATAAATCCAAGTTTCACAGCAGGTGCAAACCATGGCATCCTTGAATCCTAATCATTCCCCCCACTGTCCAGATCACCACATAGCTGGAGAGATCAGACCTGAGGGTCATTCCTGGGGCCATAAGATAAACTGTAGTTTATGATTAACACAGATTCTTTAACAGATTATGTGCATAAGATAAACTTGGTATTTTAACAATAGATGTGATTTGCAACCATTTCAAGCCAGTCTGTTGAATCTCAAGTCCAAACATCACCAATAGACGAGGACTCTTAAAGGAATGAAGGTGCTTAACGAAAGAGTCAGAAATTAATAAAAAATAAAGCCATTAAATGCATAACATTAGACAGATGTTTGCAATGTAACATCCTTACCGCAGTGTCGTTGGTGGTAATGTACACCAACACATCTGAGTTGTTTCTGCCATTAATGTATCGGTAGCAGTTCCACACACAGCTTATCAAGTAACCCTGCAAAGAAAAGGGATTTGTTATTCTGTGCAGAAAATAAACCATAGACTTCTTCTCTTAAAGCATTTCCATTCTTTATAAATATAAATATCAGCTTGGTAGAAGCATAGGACAGTCACTTTTCTGGTTGCAGTAACTATGAGAGCGTGGAGGGGCTCTGTGAGTAATTCAACACCGCTCCTTATACTGATAGAATTGGACTTCTTCAGTCTTGAGAAGAGAAGACACTGGGGAGACCTTACTATGGCCTTTCAATATATAAAAGGAGCTTAAAAGAAAGATGAGGAAAGTTATTTTACCAAGGCCTATAGTGACAGGACAAGAGGCAATGGTTTAAAACTGAAAGAGGATAGATTTAGACAGGACATAAGGAAGAAAGTTTTTACAGTGAGACTGGTGAGACACTGGAACAGCTTGCCCAGAGAAACTGTGGATGCTCCATCCCTGGAACTGTTCAAGGTCAGGTTGGATGAGGCAGTCTCTGTTCATGATAAGGAGGAGTTGGACTAGAAAAACTAAAAGTTCCCTTCCAATCCAAACCATTCTGTGATTATATGGTTCTGTGATTGTGGATACTTGTGTTGCACTACAAGCCACTCCATCTAGGTAGATATACTGCAGTCTAGACCTATCTGAATGACATCTGCTATTCCAGATGTTTAATATTACAGCATACTTAATGCAGACTATGTTTTGAAAATAAACAGTTTATTTGTGCCTGAATATGGCTAAAGTAACATAATTTTGTGTATATAACCTCCATTTTACCTAAATGAGCAAGTCACATATGCTGACTTTCTTTTTTAGACCTCTCTATAGAGATACAGAGAGGGTTGAGTTCAGTCAGACACCTTGTTACTGTGCATGGGATACTGCACATCTGCAGAGGTGAGTTTTACAAGATATAATGAAGGCACGGGTTAGACTCTGACCAAAAAAAGAAGGTGCTACAGACACAGAATGTCTCAGGGACAGTAACAAAAAGTAAACATAAACCATTTTTGGATTAATCCACAGTAAGAATGTTTAAATATCATCAACTGGGGTTTAGTAGCTTTAGAAAGTGGAAGCAAACCCCAGCAAAAAGAGCTCAAGCATGCTGGGGACTGAAGAATCATGAAATTACAGGAAAACTTCCTTGCCCTGTGAGTAGCAAGCCTGGACATTGACTGTGTGATTATACTATATATCACCTCCATTATTTCAATACTCTGTTTCACTTAATCTGACATTAAATCTATGTATTCCATGTGACTGGAATGGTCTGGAGTCTTGCTATTCTTGCCTGACTAGAGAAAATTGCCCATGTAAAAGTTTTCATTGACATCTGAAATGATTTCTGACATTTTAAACATTATTATAAATATTTTTTTCAGTGTAAAGCAAAAAAACCTGTTATTGTAGCAATAAACCTACTGCAAGATCACACAACTTCACTGCTTTTGTTCTTGGAGCTCACTATGCTCTGGGTAGGGCTGCTGTTGTCTCCACCTTTTTTTTTTAACTGGTTGGGCAAAGTGCTCACATCCATCATCTCCTTCACCAGCATGAAATGGTCCAGTTTGGGCAGCAGAGATGAGCAAAGTGACTGGAAGGAAGACAGAAGGCAGAAAAGCGTGCAGGAGCAGGAGTCAGATCCGCAGCATGCTAGTAACAAGGCTGGTGGGACTAAGCAGTTTCCTCCGGAGCTTTGTGGTTCCCATGTGATTACACGACAGCGATAAGGAGAACTATGTGTTTTGATAGTGCCCAACTTGTATTTTCACTTAGTAGGTTCTGCACAGCAATTCTTTCACTAAACTAGTACGTTCAAATTAAACTGCCCGTGTTGACTCCATTTGCATGTGTCTCTCACTGAGTGAGTCATAATTTTGTGACTCAACTTGCGCTGATGACCTTCCAAAAGCCTCTTATCCCTTTGAGCCCTGTGCTTCCTCCATATCCACAACTGACACACATGAGCTGTGTTTTTCAGGATGCCACATGACTCACTGATGGCTTGCTTGCAGATCAGGAAGAGTTTTTTCCACCAGGGTGGAGCTGGCTAAAATCTGGTAAATTTGCTACGTCTTTTTTTACAGTATCTTACAGACCCTGGATGACTTGGAGGCGTTGCAGACTTTGACAATACTTTTGACCACCAAACTGGGGGAGCAAAAGGCTTCTGGAGTGAGCTAAGTCCCAGGGGAATATTAGACAGGCTCTACAGCCCAAGCTGTGGGCTATGCAAACCTGCCCCAAACTACTGAAACAAGTAAAGCCACATACATAAAGAACTGGATCTTTTCCAGATTTAAGTAAAATGTCATTGTTAATTATAAGTGGTAATAAATAGTTCAGTAGCTTTCAGTGCTCAGATACTATAGGCCGAGAATGGTATAAGAGCCAATACAGAACAGAGTCTGAATATAGTACACTTCTGTGGGGACACAACCTCTCTTTATAAGAAACCCTTTATATTAAGCCTACCTATTTGCAAACCTATTTCTATCCTCCTGTCAAAATCCAAATTGAGGGAAGCCCTGTTTCAGATAATACAATCCTATCTGGGAGAAGCTAGTGGGAGATTCATTTTTGAATGCTCCCATTCTATTACGTGTGGTGAATAAAACACATTTAACCCCACAATTAACCCCTACAGCTCTCCCAGCTCCAAACCCTAGCTCTAATCAGCCCTGCTCCTATGTGCATGGGCTGTTTCTCGGTGGGTGAGGTTTGTTTCAGCCTTTGAATTAAAGAGGTCATCAGCTAGCATACACCAAGTAATTGGCCACGAGACACTGACCCACATATGGTTGAGAGTGGCAGCAGTTCAGAGCATGTCCTTTTCCAAGTGCTTTGGACATGTGCTGCTGGCCTGTGAATCGTGAGTCATGGAAACCTGTTTTCTTCAACCTGTAACCTTATTTAAACTTGTTCCTAGTAATTGTTTTCTACCAACACTGCTGCACTGTTAAATGGGATTCCTCACTCAATTACCAATTTTCTCTCCTGAAAAACCTGGCTAGGGTTTCAAATACTGCTTTAAATGTGTCGCTGGCCACTCAGTATATAAATATATTGATTTTTACCTCAGGAGACCAATGTTCACATTTGAAATTGGCCCTGCATAAAAGGCCTTAAATCCCTCAGCCTAATCCACCCTTAGTGGTACTCCAGCACAGGCTGCTGACAGACACCTTTTGGGAAGGCAGCCCCAAGTAGCCACCACGTGAAAGGATAGGTGCACAAGAAGGGCTGAATGTGGGAAGAGGCACTGCACCTACTTCTACCAGCTTTCAGTCTTCCCCTTTGCATGGTAGAAAATTACTTGAGCCTCTATGGAACTGAAGCCCACAAAACTTTCTAATCCTGCCTCTTGCTGTTGCAATTGCACACACACTTGTTAAGCAGCACAACAACAGTAATGTACTGCAGGCTTCTGCTCATCAGACACACACTGGACCAGCTGACTGACCATCATCTCTGTGGAAATTAAGAGGTTGCTACATTGTGCTGTTTCTTGTAACACAGAAGGAAAAGTCTGTGCTGATCTGGGTCACAGAAGCCCTCTGGGCAGCCTCCTCACTGGCAGCAAGTGCAGGGTGAATGCCACAGACCTGACACAGGCCCCTCGGGTTAGGAGATGCCTGCACTGCATCCTATTTTATTCCACAGCTGCTTTGAATTTTCTGTTTACAGAGCTGGGATGGGCTTCAGTAACTGGTGAAAATGAGATAAAGATTTATACACAAAATGAAATTTATATGAAGATTTCAGAGGGATGCTAATGGCAGACTAGTTGACCACATGTATTTCCCATGTTGGTACTAGAGAAGGAGAAACAATGGGTTGCTGTGCTCATGAAATTGGAATTAAATTCATCTTCTCAGCACACTAGAATGTGTATCTTGTGAGTATAAAAAACCTGTGCAAGAACCACTGCTTAGAACAGCAAAGAAGTGCTGTAATTGGAAAGAATTAATGACACCAAACCAAACCATTGGCCTGCAACACTTGAAATGGCACCTTACAGGGGCTAGTACATCACCTGTCCCCTAACAGTCACACATACTGGGTTCATGCAATTTAAAGTAAATGACCCCTACTTTAGAAATGCTTCTCCCATAACTACCCTGCCACCAGCAATCCCAGTGCTGAGACCAGTCCTAGGCTTTTTTGGAACAGATAGCAACCTCATGGCTCCTTGTTGGCTGTTCCCGGGAGTGTGGATCAGAGCTTGGCTGTTGGGGCTGTGTTCAGGGTCCCATGAACACAGGAAGGTAGCAGACACCAGGGCGATGTGTTGCGGGTCAGGGTTCCCCCTGCCAGAAGGCATCCCCCTGGGCTGAGATACCAGATCTCTCAGAGAGAGCACAGAACTTCATTCCATATAACCTTTCCTGTCTGCTGAGGACACCAGGACATGCAGAGTGGTCTCATCTCCAGGCTCAACACCTTGTATGTGTATCTTACAGGCATATATTCTGGAGACCAGGGTTAATACCGAGTTTGCTGAAGACCAGCCTGTCTCACTGAACTAGAATACCTTTTGGCTGCCCCACTGGCAACGACCTCTTCCTACCTACTTTTCAGAAAGAGAAAGGCCAGAGAACAAAAGAGGAGGCCATACTCTGAAGCTGCAGAGTGCTCAAGGAAGCCTGGGGGAAAGGTTTATTCTGGTTGTTTATTCCGTGCTCACCAGAGCTCATTTGGGCCTGGGAGGCTTCCCCATGGTGGGGAGATTGAAACCTCAACCATTCTGTCTCAGCAGCTGGGGCTGGCCAGAGGAAACCGAGGCCATGTTCTCCAAATCAGCTGCAGAGGAGAGTGTGATTCAAAAGCCACTGTGTTGGCTATGTGCCATTTGAAGTCCTGTGTACATACATAAAATACATTTGTGCTGCTGGATGTCCTTCCTTGGCCAAATAGGAAACACCTATGTTTTGTGGCATGCAACTCTGGCTCAGTTTCTAGACAAAGATGGTGAATGGAATAACACATTTTGGTCTACTCTGAAAAGGATTCCATGTGAAACTGCCTGAAATATCCATTAACTGCTTCAGATCCAAGTAAATCCTAAGCACTAAAAAGATAAATGCTTATATGTGGTTAGCTGGCTCACTTTCTTATCACTCTCGTCCCCTTGCCTTTTCACAATCTCATGACTGCAAAACACAAACCTAACATCCAACACTGCATAATCTTGCCTTCTGCTCAGTAAAGTTTTTCTGTGCATGTAGCTTCACCAAAAACAAAAGAGTCATAATGCCAAATGTTTCTGAGGAATTATGTGATTCTGGTTCATATTTCCCACCAGCTGAATGCAGCTTTCCCTACTGCAGCTTTTCCTAGGTCACAATGTTTTGGTTCCTCTCCCTGTTTCTAGTTGAACTCCAGAGGGAGAGGGAGCTCAGGCATATTTTTTATGCACAGTACCTTTTCAGTTTCAGTACATAAACGTGGTACCATCTGCTAAGTCTATCAGTGATAAACTGTGAAGCATCTGTGTGTGTCCAGCTTTCTTTTCAGGGAGCAGATTCCATAAATCTGCATAACAGCTCTTCTGGAAACATAAAAAATTCAAATGAAAATGCTAACTGGAATTTAGCATGTGTTTCTGTGTGAGTCATATTTTTGTGACTAATTTATATGATAATATGTTGCTAGAATGAGCATTATATGAGCCACATATACTCTTGGAAAAAACATGTGTTAGCCACTATAAAACCAAATGAGACTTTTGCACAATTAATTTCTTACATGTCTTTTCTCTGTAGTAAATATTTTTTCCATGCCAATTTTAGTTGCTTATTTTTTATAAGCTTAATGTAATAAACTTTTAATTATGTATTTCTTAAATATGCAAATAAAATCAACATATGGCTGTGAACATGTAAGGCCAGAAGACTAAACTGTATTGCTAAATCAGAGAAGAAAAGTGAGTATCACTTCCAAGAGCACCTTAATATACCCTATCTGTTGGTTTTTTCCCCCAAGTTTGAAGTAGCTTCAATAACCTTATCTATCTCTTTTGCCACAATAACTTCCCCTGCTCATGTTGTCAAATGTGTTGTCTGGAACCAACATCCCTGGTGTCATCGTGACTTTTTGGAATTTCTCTAATTTAATACTTAATTGCTCTGTAGAGAAAGAGCAAGACTATTCTGAAATAAAATCCCATAAGAGAAATACAAGAATGGCAGCACTGTGTCATGAGAAACTTGCAGAAGGGTGCAAGAAGAGGGCAAACACACAGGCATGCTTTACAAGAGGTCCAAGGCTCGGGGCACTAACTTGGAGCCACAGGTCGTTGCTTTTTCTACATTGATTTGTCTGAACCTATTCTGAGCTCCTTTGGACTTCTGACCCACACAGCCAGAGGGGGCCGACCTCGCTGGACCATGAGCCCGGGCATGGTGGTTTCACATGGGCCCTTTCCAGCTCCACTGAGTGATGCTACATCTCCCCTTCTCCTGGTACCTGCCACCTCCAGCCCTCTCGCCCAAGGTTTGCTAACAGCAAAAAAATCCTCACTCCCTGTGCCCTTCTGCTGCCTGGTCTGACAGTTCTTTACGTTGTTCCTCCCAGGAGGGATTCCTTGGAACTATTTACCTGCTCTACAAAATATTTTCTGAGATAGGGCACCAGAAGGGAATACTTGCTTCCAGAGGTGGTAGGCATCAAAACTGGCAAAGAAATGATACAATTTATATTTTTGGGTTTTCTATTCCTTTCTTAATACTCTTAGCATTTGATTTACTTGTTTGACCAGAAATAAGCAGTAAGCTAATGATTTCACGTCTTCTATCTATTACTGCTACAAGACCCCTTTTTCAGGTGGTCATGCTTACTTCAGACTCTACTGCAGTGTCTGCGAAACAAGAGTGTGCTTCCTCTGTGCCCACTACTTAGAATTTAACACCACTGAGTTTCTCTGACATTTCATTATGTAGTCACTCCATGCCATGAGATCCTTCTGCAAAGATTTCTTGGGTGATTGTTTTCTATATTTTGAATGACATTGCAAAAACAATGTTGCTGTTAGATTTCCTTCCCATTCCCAGATCTTTAATGAATGTACCAAGTGGCGTGGGTCTCAATGTTGGAAAGATTGATGATTTATCCTTATTCTCTATTTTCTAGCTACGGTCTGTGAGATGACCTTTCCTCTTCTCCCTCCATATCTAAGGGTGCTTTTTAAAACCTTTGATGAGAGATTCTGCCAAACACCTTTTGAAAAACCAAGAAGCCTGTATCAACAGGTTCTCCCTTGTCCACTGGATGACCCACTCCTTCAAAGGATTCACAAGTCGTGAGTTCCTCCTACAAGCATCACACTTCCCTATTGTGGCCTGTATGTTCTTGTATAAGATTTTCTGCTTTTCTTCCATGATGTCTATAGCTGTTTTGTACACCTGTCAGGCTGCCTGGGCTGTAGGTCCCTGGATGTTTCTAAAGACAGACCTCCCAGCAGGGGACATTCTACCCATGACCAGAATTAGACTTTATACACAGTAATGCACTTACCTTAAAAGCCAAAATGATACTTATGAAAAGGAGGATAATCACAACCAGACACGTAGGGTTCACAGACATAATCTCTTCCTTGTAGGGAAAATTGTTGGGCTGCATAAGCAAAAATAAGCAAAACACTGTGAGTTAATCTCACGAGTCATTTAAGAGCCATTCAATTAGTGTACTCTATAATTAACAGCTTACAAAGCTTTCTATGATCTACTAAATCGGGAGCTCTGCACCAACAACCAGTTTCAATAAGTTTGGCTGGAACAGGCATTGTAAAGACTCGGCTGTCAAAGGTTCCCTGGAGGTCTGAGGGATTTGCTTTTTGCTTTGGATGTGGTGTGGGCTCTCTTTTCCTCAGCGCTCACTGGGTTTGCACCTGACACAAACAAGCAAAGGACTGGGAGCTTTGCAGCAGGAAACCTGCCATCTTGGGAAACAGCAGGCAAGTCCTGTACTTACTGAGTAACCATTATAATGGCACTGGTTGCCAAAGACCAATGGTAGCTCCTTCCACAAAGTCAAAGCAGGAAAAACTGGACAGCATAATCCTTTCACCTAAATATTTGAAGACATTTCAAAACACATTGAGTCTATTCTTTTCCATTTTATTTTGGCTAAATTTGGACTACTTCTCCAGGAGTATTTGTTAATACTGCTATCTGAGTGCATGTCCCATGGAGGCACGGGTCCTCCAGGGGAGCCACATCATGATTTCAAATTGAAATGTGCTCCAGGTCCTTCTGCTACCTTATACATGAAATGGAGGTGACAAAATTAGTCTTCTCGTTTAGCACACGCTCTACTGATTTACAGTTGTGAAACACTTTAGGATCACTGGCTGAAAAACAGCCTATAAAAATGTTTTACTGTATTTATTGCTTAAAGAAAACGCACCCTTTATAATTAATGTTCCAAACAGTTTTGAAATACTGCAAGGCACAAGTTCCCGTTTCAGTTAGAATAAACCATTGTTCACAGACAGAGTTTCTCCACAATAGATAGCTCCACTGCAACAGTAGCTCATTATAACTGAATGCAATAGTTCCTTCCACACACAACCCCCTTTTCCCTTACAGGTCTAATTACTTAACCAGGCCAGCTCTGCATCCTTGTCAGGACAATTAACTAGACCAAGCTATAACTGTATTCTTGGCAATGATGGTGTAAATCCAGAGTAACCCCTTAATAACCCTTATGCCAGCACTCAGCCCAGTGCATCAGGAAATTATCTTTTTTTTTGGACAGCTGCTACTGAGAATAGCTCTTTATTTAGCGCTTCCATGAACTGTTCAGAGTGGTTAACATCAACAGCAGCTGTAACAGTTTGCAGATAAACGTTACATAAGCACATTTTCCGCTTCTTGACAGCAATGTTTCTGTTCCTGTACTGAATTTCATGGCTGAAGTTTTTATCACATTATCTTCTTTGTTGAGGACACTAGCTTTTGTAGGACACTAGCTTGCTATAATTCAGTAAGTTGCTGCTTCTTTTTTCCCATAGAAGGTTATCCTAAATATAGTGAAGGCAGTCACTCAGAGACCAAGAAAGCAAGAGTATATGCCAAAAAACAATGCCCCAACCTCCCCTCCTGCTTGCAAGAGGGAGGCCATGAAAGGAAGTTAGAAAGTTAGAAAGTCCAGTCAGTCAAGGACAGTTACAGTAAAACTGCCCCCAAATGATTTTTTCAGTACTGACCTACCATTAAAAAACTAGTCAAACTAGTCTGTGAATATAATAAAAAATTCCCAGTAAGACTTTGGTCTTCCTACACAATGATTTTTGGGAAACAGTCACCACCTGAAGACTGGATGACTGCTTTCTGGTATCTTGGCCATAATCTATTGGCCTGTTTCCAGACATCAACTTAAATGGGATTTGCATGGGGCCAAGAGGAGGGAGAAAAACAACGAAGAAAGTTTCCACTACATTGAAAAGCAGGAACATCTGCTAGAGCCATGAACCCTGGTCAAGTCTGGGAGAAAGACATGCTGCTGAGCAATGCCTGGCACTCCCTTGTATCAGCGTCATTGTTTCAGACAAAAAAACCCAGTAATTCAGCAAAGCCAGGACAGCACATGAGGAACAAATTCTGCAGTTTGTCCCCTTCAGGCTTAGCTTTCTGGGTCTCTATCTGAAGAGATGCGAGGTGTAAGCAAGCCCCAGTGAGGTGGAGAGTGCTGTGCTCATGTGGTAGTCACCCCTACCTATCTCCCCACCTGGGAGATCTTGGTGCAGGGTGTGAAAACTGAAGCTGGTCTCTCCTGGAGCTTCCAGGCTTTCCATCTGGGAGACAAGGCTTTCAAGGCTTCTACGAATAGCCCAGGGGTCAGAATGGAAGAAACCCCCTTTTATTTGCTAACTGGGTTGGACCAGTCTATGAGCAGTCTGATCTTAACTCACAACTACAACCCCCTTCAGTACTGAAGGAAAACCAATTTATAAAACCTGCAGCTTTTGGCAAAGAAGCAGGAAAGGTGGTAGGAAGCATCTTGATTGGCTCCAGGCTCACTCGGTTCAGGGATCACCCTAGAAGTGGTGTCATAAGGCAGCCCTTGGGGTCTTCCCAGAGCAGCAGCCATTCCAAGAATCTCATTAATTCTCATGGAAAACTTGTACCAACAGCGGTTCAGACAAATCAAAGACCCATTGCCCTCCACTGACTGCAGTGATAAGCTTAAACGCTGATATAGGTGCATGAGGGGGGACAAGAAATTCTGCTCCTGTGCTGGGGGTTTGCTCTCCTGTGGGGAGACCAGTAGTTGAAATCCTGCTGCTAGAAAGGTTTCAGATACTGGGCTCAGCGCTGCAACTTCTAGAAAAAGATCAGTGTCAAATGTTGTGCAAGGTTTGATGAAGCTGAGACTGAAATACGTCTGGGTGGGAAAAATCAAGTCTGTCACTGGAAATACAGGAGTGATTTTGCAGCACAACATGATGAAATTTGCTATCCAAACAAAATGTAGTTATAGTAGTGTTGAACCGGCCTGCTGAAGTTATAACTAAATTGTCATTTATAACCTTGTTGTGGACATGGAGAGGGCTGCGTGCATAATAATATACCTGGTACACATTTAATTTTAAAAAATTACTGCTTATATATATCAAAGCTCTATTACACACTTAAAAAGAATCTAAAACTTGCATAGAAAGTACATTTCTACTGCATTGATATTGTACAAATGTGCAAGAAGAATAAAATGAAAAAGGCTAAAGCCATTTTTCATTCCCTCAGCCTCCTTGCATAACCTTTCACGTCTTCCTTCCTCCTGGACCATAAAAAATCCACTTTAAAATATGGTGTGGATTCTCGTCCCAAGTTGCAATCCTCCAAGTATCAGGATCTTACAAAATTGAAAGAAAACAGTAATGTGTCAGGAGAATTTTTAAAGCTCTGCTATGAAATTAGTACTACTTCCTTGGAATTACAAAATGGCATTAAAAATGTCAGAAAGGATATTTCTTTTTTAAGCTTTAGTTTATAGGAAAAATTTCTTTAGGTTTAATCTCTTTCATGTTCTCTAGATGTTTCCCCTAGGATTTAAAAGCATGACTGATACCACACGAATTGTTAGGCAGCAGCATTGCAGGCAGTCCCACAGTAAAGTTATTTAATACAATTTGAAATTTTGTTTAGATGAACTGTCATAGTCCTGTACTTTAATAAAAAAAAAAAGTTTTCATAACACAGTTGCAGGCTAGCCTGTTCTGCACCTCTGCTTCAAACCATTTCATATACTGTTATATAAGATGACAGAAGATGAAGTGTTTCATTTCAAGGCTTTAAAAAGCCCCTATATCAAAGATTTAGTGGGGTTAAAGGAAAGAAATGTGCTTTAGGTCAAACTGCTTTAGATCTCTACTGCTCCAAGAACCAAAATGATTTTTATATCGCGTATGTTGGATTCGCTGTATGTGAAAGGTTTTGGTTTTCAAGTGACAATGATAATGACCAAGATGTCCAACATAATTCTTCAAAACTTTTATCACGCAATCATCATAAAGCACATAAAATGTAAGATTTGTAACATTTACTTATTTTACATGACCCTTTATGCTGAGATGCTCTTGCTATCTATGGAAATTCAGTGGCACACCTGTGTGCAACTGGGTACCAAAAGGCAACAAAAAGTTCCCAAAGACACTTGTTCCTCTGAAAGAAGAAGGCAGTGTAGGCTGATGTTACCAAACACCCTGTGAACACAACTGCAACATTTTCAGCTAGAGCTCTGTCCAGCTTATTGATTATGTGCTAATCATCTTGCTAAAAGTACATGGAGGGTTTCACAGTAGCTTGTAACTCATCACTGACAGACTGCAATCTGGCAGATGTGAACCACAGTAAACAGGTAATGACCCCATATACTAGTGAAGGGAAGTAGAAATGGTTAAAAAGACAGGGGTTTCACCTTTAGAGCAAGAAAAAATGTTCCTCTGAGATTGCCAAATGTATTCCATTACCTAATGCACACCTTCATCCAAATATTCAATAATGGATTTGAAGAACGATTGGGATTTTTCATTTCCCTTATGGAGTTGTGCCCCCTAAAATATCATTCCCCAAATGCAAAGCAGTTTTAGAGCAACAGAAACTGTAAGAATGCCAGGAAGAAATACAACCCTTGCTTCCTGCCTATCCTGGCAGACCACTGCAAAGGGGGCAAGGGGCAAGACGACTCTATGGCTTATTTATAAATCACCAGGAAGGATTACACCCAACTGGATGACTCAGGTCTCACTACAAGGTCAGGGGTATTAACCACAGGTCTTGCTCTAAACACAGTGTTCGAGATGACAAACCTATCCACCATGAGTATTATTCAAAGGTAGGGAAACAAGTTCTGTATCTCAGAACTAGCACTGCATTGATAGCATTATTACTGAAAATTTGACAAGCTTGCATTTAGTTCCATCATGTGTTTGAGTATCTGGTAACAGTGGATGGGATCTTCACCTCTCCCCTTTGTTTTTGCCCACTCAGACTGAGTGTATTTACTCTGAACCAAATGTAACAACCTTTGCCAAACGACGTAGCCCTTCCAAGGAAGGGTACAAGGGGCTCCTGTGGAGTCATTTGTGCTCAGGATCACAGCTAAGACTGATTACATGCATAACAGCTTCAAAACTTTGTTGAACGGGTGACATTAACTGCACAAAATTCATCATAGGTCTTTGGTAGTTTTTCCACATCACTAATCTCCAATATGAATGATAAAATACAAACTAATCCTTCTTTCTAAATGAATTTAACTTGGACTAGCTTTTAGCTGCTAGCTGCTCATTATGCCTCACATCTAATTTAAACAGCCTTTTAATACCTCATTATTTTGCATATAAAAACTCCAGTGGCACTACCTCTTGGTCTCCCTTTTCAGTAAATGAAGCAGGAAAAGCTAATTGTCTCATGATACTACAATATATCCAGATTTTATATAGGTTTTTTTTAGGAACTTTCCTGCATGTTCTCTGACTTTTAAGCATTGTTTTTCACAACCAGACTCCATAAATAGACAGAGAAAATCTATGTCACCAGATGAGAAGGGAAGTCTCCTCTCCTCTCCATTACCATTAATTGCTCTTTTTTTTCTGTTCACAAACCCCAACAGCAACTTTTGCAAACAGCAAAACAACTTGGAGGCTGTAGTTTTGGCACTTAGTTCCCTAGGCTGCTTACAGGGTCACTGCATCCCAGGCACAGTTGTCATACTGTACGGTCATCTATATTCTTCATGCTTTTACATTTCTTTGCATTTATCTATGTGGCACACATTAATGGCTGAACTCAGGCTCTCAGTCAGTCTAGCTCACTGTGTCAGCCATGTGTTTTATTAGAAGCGTATATTAGAAAAATATGCTGGGAAAAGCCACAAGTACTGCCACTGGGAAATGTAGAGATTAGCCCACTCTGGGCAATGTAGGGTAGGGTCTGTCAGAGGATGACACAGAACAGCCAGATTAGACTCCTGCTCACAACCTCCCACCAAAGAACTTGATCCCTCTAGACAATGAGCCTGCAGAAGCTCTCAAGGCTGACATTAGCCTTTATGAAGGGCCTTTTGGGTACTAACATTATTAATGGAAGTCGGGATGAGCATGAAATCTACTGCTGATTCTTGGAGACCTTCCTCTACCCAAAATAGAAACTCACTGGCAGATGGCTGGCTTGACCACGACCCCTTGCAGTCTGCCAGCTAACCTCTCCTAATCCATGTGATACATCTGTTATTGATCTAGTGCTTCACTGTTGCTCTGAGCATCATGCTGCAAAGTCAAACATCTCCATTATGTCCCTGCCTATCTTTATTGATGAAGTCAGTAATCTTGTCAGCGAAGGAAAATGAGTTTGCCTGCAGGACTGATTTTCCATGAAACTGTGCTGGCAGTCATTAATCATTTTCCTCTGGTCTAATTCTTTATCAACTGACTCTCCTCTCAGACCCAGCCCTTCTGTCATTATTCTGCTTGGTAGCAATGTCAGGCTAATCAGCCTATAATTATCCTGGAAATCCCCCTTGCCCTTTTGAGCACTGACAGTTTAGCGGTCCTGAAGTCCTGCAGCATTTCATTATCAGTACAGAAAACGATTTACAACAGCAAGACAAAGATGTGTGCAACCAGAGATTTTAACACTCTAGACCAGCAATACAGATCACAGAGTGCTCTGCTGCACCATACCCAATCCCTTCCAAGGCCTGCTCCTTCTATTTCTGATACAGAAAGGCCTGTTATTTTTTTATCTGCAGGAAATACAGTGGTGTTTTAGCAGACACTTTCAGAGAATCAGCTGCTCTTTGCCCTTCTATAGTGGGCCAGCTCTAGATGCAGCACGAGATTTCCAGTAGAACAGCAGAGGCTTTTAAGTGCACAGCTCCCAGCCTGCTCCTGCCCCCCTCATGGTCTGTGACAGAGTGAAACCTGGTTATGACTCATGCTCTGGGAAGTGGGGGAGAGCTCCTGCAGCCACACAGATGCTTGTGCTGCCACAAGGGCAGGGCTGGCCCTGATGCAGCAGTGAGGGACTAGGTAAAGGATGGGCAGGAGGGCTCCAGCAGTGGCAATGCCAGCTTAATCACTCACTAAACTATGACCGCAATTTGCTCTTTTCCACTCGTACTTCTGAGAACCCTTTGATTTATTCCTCAGCTTCTCTTCAAGTGTACCATCAGCTGTGAATGCAGGTAGGTGTTAAATAAGATGAAGGATAACAGACACGTTGCCTCTTCCTGAAGATTTGTGTGGCTACTTATCTGCCTGCTGTTTCTCATTACCTGTTATTTATACTGGCCAAGCTAGCTTTCCATCCACACAACAAAGTTCACAGCCAAGCTAATCTGTATTTGGGTTCTCAAGGCAGATTTTCAGAGACAGTTGCAGCACTGGCTTCTCCAGAGCTCTGCAACTCCACATGAACCCTGCTGGACATAGCACGTGGTTCTGTAATGAGACAGAGGCTGTGGTCTCCTCGTTACTTCAGGGTGTTGCAATCATATCTCGTACACTTATGCAATACTGGCTATGGATGTTTGGTCAAAGCAGACCATGGCAAGAAGGGGGCCTAAGACAGAAGCCGAAATATTTTCTAGCAAAACCAAATATACACTCAATCAAATTCTTGCCTAATGAAATGTGTTAAAGCTACCAAATAAATTAAAAGGAGCAACAAAACATTCTTGAAATAGCACCAAAAATAAGGTACTGGATAGGAACACAATAACTCTGAATGCAAAACCAATTACCTATTATCTATATCTTGTAACATGAATCTTATTCTAAATGAAATGATGCTGAGAGCTTCCATGACATTACAAAACTCTAGAACTTTGCTCAAATATTGTAGTAAGCCAGCAATGTAACCTTGCAAAGATGTTGAATTCAGACTGGCAAGGACTGAGAGAATTTCTCAAGGACTGCATGGGAAGTTAACAGGCCAGAAATACAGAACAAACAGACAGGTTTTTTTTCCCCCCAAAACCCCAGAGGCTTGTGAACATCAAGTGATTTACCAGCTGATGGAGGTAGTCCTGAATTGTGCTGGGATAGATGAGTACACTGATGGCAACCAACGTGTTGAGAGCAAAGTCAAAGATCTGATAACAGAAGAATGGGATGATCCAAGCTGCATGTTGCTAAAAACGGAAAGGAAATAAATTAGAAACTCATCGGCCACAAGTTAAAATAGAAGGATATATGTTTTTCTACACTAAAATCTAAGGAATATTTGACATTATGCAGTATTAAATCAGCTAAAAGAAATATGACATTCAGCCTAAAGGGCTGGCCAAGGCAGTTTGGCTGCTGAACTGCAGTGCAACTCCCACAACTCATTACACTAGGATATTTAGAAACCACATGATACTTTTCCCTCCTAGTTAATAGGATTAATGCTGGGACAAACCACAGGCTTGGAAGGTGAATGGGAAAAAATTCCCTTAACTTTGATAGGTACAAGATTCAGTTCTCTGAATTCACCATTTGCCCAGAGCTTCTTTGAAACTGCAGACAGTCAACACAACTGGGCAGTTCTGCTGCCTGCAGCAGGGGGCCCTGGGGTACCACTGATCTAAGCAATCAGTTCTGCTGTCTCTTCTACTTCTCCTTTTTTCCCCCTCTCAGTTTTCAGCTAAACAACTAAAGAAGCAAGTGTTAGAAAGAATTTTTATTAATTTTGTTTCTATGGAGTTGTGTAGTTCATTTGATTCATGTCTTCAGCAAATATAATTACCTTATATGCACCATATGTAGCCATTGCACAGATGAGAATCATAAGAAGAGAAATTGCAGTGGCAATGCACATATCTGGAAAAGAGACATCAAAATCATTGCAGGTAAATTCAGAGCTTGGTTCAGTTATTTTGTCATCTACCTTTTGCAAAGGGCAGGGTAAGAAATGGGTGGAGATGGGGTCAGGTGCATCATTCAGCCATTGCTGGAGGAAATCTCTAGCTTTCAAGGGGAACCTCCTAAACAGCAGAAGCACAGACAGCGCTTCTGCAAGCCTGCAGCCTTATACTGTGCAAGCCACTGCAGCCTCTATGAGGCTGTGGAGATGAATGGTCTAATTTTTCTGAGGATTTTCAAAACTCAGGAGCAGTCTTGGCAAGAAGACTATTTGCTGGTCATGGTGACATCTGTAGTCAGAGAATGTCTGCTTTTCTGCACTACAGATTGTTTCTGCACCAACAGCTGCTGTATACCACTGCTCACATATCGCTCTTCTGGAAAAGGAGAAAAACTGGCAGGTAAAAGCATCTTAGAGCAGAAATTACATCTTGAAAATTTTCATTTCAACCAAGAATACTACAGAGATGTATTTATTAACGAAGATGTGTAACTGTAAGGGAAGGTGAAGCAGTAAAGGACGGAAAATACTCTTTAAGATTTTGGTTGGAGTAATTACATGACTCCTATCTTTTTCTTTCTTTGCTGACCAGCTTTCAATTAACTTTTCCTTAGATTTAAGAAGTTCCTAAGCCATGGACAGCTGGAAGGAGATCCTGGGGGAAAAAATTACATATGCTTGGCCTTTTCATACGCACTTCCCCCGATATCATTACAGGTCATTGTCAGGTTATCAGAAGTGAATTTCTGAACCTGACTTTATAATGAGTTTGGGAGTGCAATGGCACATTGTGCCTACCTTTCCAAGGCTAAGCCAGTGCACAAAGAGGAGAGAGGACATGAAGTACACAGGACATGACTTATTGGTATCTCTGTTGGTATCTCTGAGGTACCTGCTGTTCACATTGCTGTCACCAGGTACATTTAAACTACCTGCCTTGATGAGGCACGTGGTGGACCTGAGACACACAAATACATGACAGCGTTCAGGCTGTTCACTACCCTGACTTTGGAGGCATTCAAAGTGTAAAGATTACTTCACTTCAACACAGTTGCCACAACATCTAACTCCACCACAAGGATAAGGAGCATCCCATAGTATGGGCCAACTCCCTGCAACTGCATCAAAATCAGGTTCTGGAGAGGTGCCTTGGAGCCTTCATCAAAGTACCTGAAAGGTCCTGACCTGGTAGCTGTGAACAGGTCTCACCTACCACCACCAGGTAGCAGCACAGGTTCACCTGGGTCATGGCTGAAGAGGAGGGACAGACCCTAAATCTTATTGTCATTTCCAGCCTACCAGTATGATCATCCATGTAGAAGACAAAGGACCCAGTCCTTGATCCTCCCTTGCCTAAGGGAAAACAAACCTTGCCCTAGTGCAGAGCTCTGACAACACTGATCCAGATTTATGCTGGCCCTTGACGCAGAGAGGAACCTGAGACTCGTGAAACTGGTGGAAAAATGAGCAAGAAGAGACTGTTGCTGGCTGGTGAGGACATCTCCAGACGGTGCTTATATTCTCTGGGCTACAGGATCTTTGGGCACTGTACCTACCAAGGGCAGGATTAAGGATTTCAGAACCTAGGCCTCTTCTTTTCCAGGACACTGCATATGTCATGGGTTTCAGGAGTCTTGTTCTCTCTCTCCTCTTGCCCCCAAATTTCGTCCTTGTGATTGCACAGGGATTCAAACGCCACAGAAGTCATCCTATTGCAGAGTACTTCCTAATTTAATGGATTAAATTTAGTGGATAAAGTGTCCTTTCCTGACACTTAGAGAAGCACTGCAGTCTCAAGTCTGATGAGGCCCTGGAGTGTAGATGTCCTTACTCACAGTGCAAATACTTGAATCTTTGTCTTATTGTCCAAATAAGCAGGTCTCACCCAGGAGAGGGGCAAGAACTCAGCACTGGTGCTCACTGCTTCCTTCACAATGTCTTTCTGCAGCTCAGCTTGTGGGTGCTATGAAAGGCCATTGGGAGGCAGCTGGGCCCCCTGCTCATAATTCAGGAGGGAATGACATCTCAGTGCATCCCAAACTGCTCTTCAGATGCACCTCCTTCTCCTCTTAGATTGCGCGGAGAATCCAGACATCCAGTGCAGGTGTCTGAGCTGCACTGCTTTGACCAGTTTCTAGCCTTTTAGGAGTTGTAAAAGCTGTGATGTGCCTATTAGAGGTGATCTGAATTCTGGCTTCAAGAGCAAGATGCAAAATAAACCTCTACTAATAAAAGGTACCGCAGCTTCTTCAGACACTTCTAGCTGTGTGGCCATTTACTCTGGCTGCCCACATACATCCTGTGAAATCAAATTTTTTTTTAATAGACTAGGTACAATT